CCCCAAAACCCCAAAACCCCATAGGATTAAATCACTGTAAAATGTATGATCTAGAAAATTTGATATAATTCGATAACTATTATGAGAACTTTTATAAATATAAAAAAATCTTTCTACTCTTCACGAATGGAACAAAGCGTAAAGGCTCATTACGATTTCTTAGTAATAGGTGCAGGTTCTGGTGCAATGGGTGCATCAAGAAGAGCTGCAATGTTTGGCAAAAAAGTAGCTATGATCGAAAATAAAGTCATTGGAGGAACTTGTGTCAATGTAGGCTGCGTGCCCAAGAAGGTCATGTTCAATCTAGCCAGCTTCCTCGAAGATGCTCACGTGATCAGCGACTATGGAGTGAAGGGTCTAGATAAACTTGAACTAGACTTTGGTCACTTCAAAAGACAAAGAGATGCCTACATTAAGAGATTGAATGGAATCTACTCAACTAATGTCAAGAATGCTGGTATTGATTACATCGAAGGCTTTGCTAGATTCACCTCTCCAAAAGAAGTTGAAGTCGTAAAGGGATAGGATTAACCAATAGAGCGATATTCTGCTGATCATATCTTGATTGCCAGTGGATCCACTCCTGAGGAGGGTACCTTTGAAGGAAGAGAACATTGCTGGGTGAGCGATGATATCTTTAAGATGGAAGAATTGCCAAAAAGCGCAGTTGTACTTGGAGGTGGCTATATCGCAGTAGAGATGAGTTAGATTCTTCAAGCTTTTGGAGTTAAAACTACTCTCCTTATAAGGGATGTCCCACTTAGATAAGTAGACAGCGAAGTAGTTGATAATTTGGTTGAAAATATGAAGAAACTTGGTCTTGATGTAAAGCTTAAAACACCATTTACAAAAGTAACAAAAGATTAAGATTCTGGATTGATTTCTGTACATACTACAACCAACGAAGTTTTTGAAGCTGAAAAGGTTCTATTAGCCATGGGTAGACCACCTTGTGTAAGAGGACTTGGACTTGAAAATGCTGGAGTAGAAGTACTTCCTAGTGGTTTCGTTAAAGTAGATGAGAATCACTTCACAAATGTCCCAGGAGTTTATGCCATAGGAGATGTAACAAACCATGAACAATTAACTCCAGTTGCCATCAAGGCTGGAAGAATTTTAGCAGAATATCTATTCAACGGTAGAACAGATTTACAAATGAATTACGCTAACATTCCAACAGCTATATTCTCTCATCCACCCATTGGTTACGTTGGTCTTAGTGAACAGTAAGCTATTGCAAAGTATGGAGCTGATAATATAAAGACTTACAAATCAAAGTTTACAAATATGTTTTACTCTCTAGCAGCAGAAGACAAAAAGAAACTTGGGACTCTATTCAAACTAATTTGCCTAAAGACTGACGATGGTCAAGAAAAAGTTATTGGCAGTCACGCTATAGGTAGAGGTGTTGATGAAATGATGCAGCTCGTAGCTGTCAGTATTAATATGGGAGCTACTAAAAGAGATTTCGATAGAACCATTGCTATTCACCCTACTGCTAGTGAAGAATACGTATTAATGGACCCAAAACTCTATTTCTGATGAATCTTAATAATTTACGTCATTAAATTATTCAAAAGATGTATTTATCTGTATCTTCTATATAGTAAAAATTGAGGGGTTTTGGGGTTTTGGGGTTTTGGGG